TTGGCCGCGTCGTGGCTGCTGGGCGGCAGGCAGGCGGTGAAGCGGGCCTGGCCGAGGCGCGCGGGCGTCAGCGTGTCGGCGAAGGCGCTCTCTGCGCGGGACAGGAGGAGCGCGGCGTGAGGCGGGGGCCGCGGAAGCCCCGAGCCCCGCCCTCGCGATCCGCTCATTCGCGTACTTTAGTGAGGCACAACTAAGCGCAATTCTTGGTTTTCATATCTTTGGGACTGGCTTATATAAGGTTCTTCCTCTTTCTTTTTTGCTCTTTCCCACCTGCCCTCCTTTTTCCTACTTCCTCCTAACTTTCCTCCCCCTTTTTCTCTCCCTCCTCTTTCTCTCCATCCCGCCGCCTCCTCTTCCATCCTTCCCTCTTCTTATTTCAGCTTCCTTTTCTCTCACCCTCCCTCCTCCTTCCCTCTCCTTTTTTCCTCCTTCCCTTTGAGGTTTTCAGACTTTTGAACATCTAAAGGGCATTTGGAAAGCCTTTATTGTCTGTCTCCTCAACTAGAACATAAGCTCCAATAAAAAGAGCAAACCCTGTATTTGTGGCCTTATCACGCGACAGTATGCCATGCTTCTACGTTCCTTTCACATGGTATCTCATTTAATCCTCACAACAACCCTGTGAGGTATGTACTGTTACTATCCACCATTTAGAAAAGAAAGGAATTGAGGCACAGAAGGGTTAGGGAACATGACGAAGGGCACACAGCTTGTTTTTTAAGTGGCAAAGCCACGACCTGAACCCAATGGCTCCAGAGTCTGGCTCTTCAACACATGCTGCTTCTGAGAGAAGGCAGGGCCGGGGCTTATCCACAGCATGGAGCACAGTGCCTGAGCCTGGGCAGGTCTCAGTAAGCATCAGATGGATGGATATGGGCTTTACAAGAGATTGACTTATTCTGTAGAACAGGAAGGGGGGCGGTTCCTAAAAGTTATAGTCATGAAAATATTTTTGAATAATTTTTAGTGAAATGAAAAAATTCTTGATACTATATATTATAGTTAAACACTAAATTCAGGTAGTACAGGTCTATCTACTTTGGTAGATTACTTGTTTATTTTCTCTCTCCTCAACTAGAATGTGAGTCCCTGGAGGGCAGGGTCTGTGCCAGTCTCTTCACTACCTTGTTCTCAGGGCATAGCAGAGTGCTTGGCACATTTCATTAATAGCTTATTGGATAAATCAGTGAGGTTTCTAGAA